GAACCCTGACCTCCTGGCTCACAGACCAACGCCTACCAGCAAGCCATGTAGGCTAGGCATAATTTAATTTTTTAATTCACACTTTTGTGCCCTATACCACCCTCCAAAAATCATATGTTTTCTTGTCCTGCTCACCTTAGGAATAATTTCCTCTTGGCTAGTGGTTCTTCAGCAGCAGCAGCATCACCTGGGAAACGTCAGAAATGCATATTCTCAGTCCTGACCCAGATCTATTGAATCTGAGATTCTGAGGTGTAGGGAGCAGCAATCTGTTTTGCCCACTCTCTCCAGTAATTCCAATTCATGCTACAATTTGAGAACCGCAGCTCTAGAAATTTTCCTCTAACCCCCTGTCCCAAATTGTGCTAAAATCATGTGGAAGACAGAGTATTTTGCATGAATATGTCTGTGAAGACATATTTGAAGAGAGAATCCAAAGAATCCATGGCCAATTGATTGAAGATCAAGATTTTAATAGACTGAATTAACACCCTTTAACCAAAAATAGAAAATTGATGGGTAGAAAATCGTTCCAACTCTCAAAGGTAAATAGAGACAGTACCAATGCATTCTGTAAAAAATAATGTGGAAAAAAATAACGTGGAGCCTATGCTAAGAAATGATCAAATGATTCATTAAAACTTAAAATTTCTACAGTACACAGCCATACTGCAAAAAAAATTTATCTGGAAACGTTTAAAGTTGGTGATGCTGCATGCTTGTCTCAATCATTTGGGGTGGGAATGGGAGATGATAAATTAAGAAACATTATCAGTTTCCCAATTTCATATCACCGAAGTGGTTTTCAGAAATGCAGATCAGCAGCTGTGTCTGAGTTCTTATTTCATCATCAATCCTTTAACATCAGTCAATAATATAAATGTTTTAATATTTACAAGTCCATGAAGGTGAAATGTTGTTTAACTTGCATATCTTTGATTAGACATTAAAAATGTTTATTAGAAAATTTTCTTCCTTTATGAATTGTCTGTTTATGTCTTTTGTTTATTTTCCAATGAACTATAAATATTAATTGATTAGTAAAATGTCACATTACAAAGGAAATACATTGTAAAATGTCTTCCTCCACTTGTTAATTACCTTTTAATCTCCCTTATGATATTATATATGTGGTAGTATGATATTACATTATGTAATATTGTGTATCTATTATATTTTATATATCATATAAATTACATTATATATGTTTCTTATATTTTTTTAATAGGCAACTTTATATAGTTGGTTGTTTCTCCTGTGTGGTTTTTTTCAATTATCTTTTTTTCTTTTTCTTTTTTGCTTAAATTTTTAAAATCCAAGATCAGGATATGTTTTACTGTATTTTATTTTAGTAGGCTTAAAGAAATCCTATAGCAGTTTTATACTATTTCATATCTATCTCTTTAATGCACTACAATTTAATTCAGTGCATGGTATGGGAAAAAGTACAACTAGATTTTCTTTCTGAAAGAAATGGGTAGGGAGTTTTGGTCAAGATGGTGATATACGTAAATAGAGTACAACTACATCAAAATTACAACTAATTTAAAGAATAACCATCCTTAAGAATCACCTGAAATCTAGCTGAACAGAAGCCCTACATCCAAAGATATAAAAAAGAAGCCACATCAGAACTAATAGGAGGGGTGGAGATGCAGGACAGGCTGGTTCCACATCCATGTAAGGTGAATAAGAATCAGGAGGGATATCTAGGACCCCAGTCCAGGGTCCCAGTGCCAGGAAGAGAAGTCCCCATAATTCTGGCTGTAAAAACCAGCAGGGATTGTGGTTAAGTTGTGCTGGAGTCCCAGTTATTTCTCTTAAAGACTTGGTGTGTATGGACATACTTCTACTTGCTTGCTTTGAGCTCCAGCACTGGGGCAGCAACTCAAAAGTCACCAGGGATGTTCAAGGAGTAGTTGAAATATCTGCTTTTGGAGTGAGGGCGGGAGGGGCAACTTTATCCCAGATAGAAGTGCTGGCCGAGGCCATTATTCCTTGGCTGAGCCCGTCTCACACAGAGCCAGCGGCCATTTCTAGTGACTTTTCCATATAAACATCCTCTCTTGGTTCATGATGTAGACTTTCCTAAAATCTTTCAAAGAAAAACCAGATGACCTTGGCATACTCTGCACCTCTTTTTAAGTGGCCCAAGTCCTACCACTAGTGGGAGCCTACTTCAGTTTGCAGTTTGGCCTATGCAAAGCACATCCAAGCCCAGCACAGGTAGCAACCATCCGCAGATCACTCTCATTTAACAAAGCTTCTTCTAAGAAAGTAACCCTGATAATAGGGCAAATGGGGGAAGAAAAGCCAGGGCCTTTTGGGTCAATGGGAGAGAAGGTAGGACAGCTCTGTCCCATGGTTGGGCCTGCAGTGTTGAAGGTGGAAGATAATGAACAATCAAGCACTTGCAGGGATCTTGGCAATTTACCTTAGGAGAAGTGGAAGTTGCTCTTTCATAACATAGAAACTCAGAGATATACGAGGCAGGGTACATACGAGGCAAAATGGCACCCATACTTAGTTCTGGCCCATTGTCTGGAGTATCATGGCTGCAGGTTAGTGAGACAGAGGATTCTTCTTTATTAATATTGAAGATCCCTTCTTCTTCCTGGTGGTAAAGTCCACTAGAGAGTTTTACATAAGACTGGTGACTAAGGAAATCCTCCTGCCACCCAGGCCTCACTCCTCAGGCTCTGCGGTTATTAGGAAAGAGAGGGCAGTGCCAAGTCCTGAGGCTGGAAAAGGAATCAGGACACCGTGCTAAGGAGACTCTGTTTTACTTGGAGACCACGAAGAACCACAGGAGCAGGGCACCATCATCTGTGTATTGAGGTCCCACCAGGTGTAAAATCCTCCTGGAAGGGGGCTTTCCACTCATGTCTGAGAAATGGCTTAACTACTAAAAACAGGCCAGCTTAAAAAATGTGTGTCCCTGAATTAAATAAAAGAAGTTCCTTTCTCCTTTGAGTAGGAATGTGGACTGGGGTGGGCACAGCAAAGATCCACCGCAAAGGGGAACGAGCCCTCTGGAGAGCAGCAGGCCATCCTGTGGGTGGAGAGATAAGAAGTAGGGCAAAACTGTCAAAGGCTTTATCAGACCAGCCCACCTTGAAGGCACCGGGAAAGTCTCCATCTGAGCATTGCTTGGCTCGGCTTCACTCTGCTCTGTGACTCTACCAACCAGCATGTGCCATGGAGGTTACAGGGTGGCAATATTGGCTTATGACTGCCTAAATGAGCAGAAGATGGCTTCTAGAAGAAAAGACCTAGGAAAGGACCAGGGGTATGAAGGTCCTGTAAAGCTAGTGTGCTAAGAGCCTGGACCTGAACGGTAGCTGAGGGGATGGACAAGAGACTGCAGCTCTAAGAACTAGTCAGATGGGACTCAGGACACCGATGAGCATTGACGACTGAAGGAGAAAAATGGGTCCAGAGGAATTCTAATACTTCTGACCCAGACAATTGGACTTTAAGCAGCAGAGCAAACTTTGAGAGAGGAGAATGAATTTCATTTAGATCACATGAACTTTATTCAATTGAAAAGTTTTAATTCCCTTATAACCAAGATAACTAATATTTATTAAAAAAGCAAATATATCAAAGAATACTCTGAAATGCAATTAAATTTGTTTATTGAAATAATAGAAACAGTGAGTAATACAGGTTGTTTCAGCATAATATAGATGTCACACATTTCTCCTGGTAGTAGATAAATAGATGAGCAGAAGCAACACAATAAAAGAATAATCTAGAATAATACATTCTATTATTGGGAGTCTCCCAAGAGATCAGCAAATCCAGCCCCATTAACAGACGGGGAAACTAATCACTAGAGAGGCTGTCATTCTCCACTCTACAAATTTTTAGGGCTTTCACCATGTACCAGGCACTTACTTGCTGCTGAGCATATAAAAGCTAATAGAACACGGTACCCATACTGTAGGAGCTCCTAGCCAAGCTCGCATGTGACAGTGTCCAGAAAGCAGGAAATTAGCACATAGCCTAAATAAGCACTGTGTGAATTGCATGCTTTCACTGCAAGGTGCATCCTATCCAGGCATGAGGGCAGTTCTCTGAAGGTCTGTGTGAGCTGACCTATGAAGGATGAGCAGAAGTCAGGGAGACAAAGAGAATATGTCCCAGGAAGGGCAAAGTGAGGAAAACATAGTGCATTTTGTTCATCAAAGGAATCAGAGTACAAGGGAATTCTAGTCCTGGATTTTGGAGACAATAGTCTCTGGACTCCCAGTTCAAGGCTATTTTTAGAGTACTACCTGTCTCTGTAGGTCTCCTGACAGTATCTGAAGATTTGGCACAAGTATCAATACTCTTGCATAGAAAAAAAGGAAGCATAAGTGGCTCATGCTTACCAGGAGTAGACATTAGGGTTTTCAAACTCTCTTGTTTAAAATGTCTCTTTAGAAGAATAATTACTTTGTATTATAGCCATTTGTTTCTTTCCAAAATATTTATACTAATGGATTCATGCCATGAAGTCTTCAGTCCGGAAGGGACTTTCAGGGGCTATTTTTTCAGTAGTCTAGGGAGCATGGGGTGGGGGAAGAGGGAGCCGTCCCCTCCCTGGTGGAGGCAATAAAGGGGACATTATCTGTGGGCAACTTAAACATTAATAACAAACTGAACAAAATTGTTCTGCTGATTATTATGACCACATGCCAAGAATCTGGTGATTCTCAGGCAGTAATAAAGCATTCTTCGCTACCGAGGCAAACTGCCCCTACTGATCGCCACTGCACTTCCTATACACCTGCACATGCAGAAAGCACAGCGCCCAGATGGGCACACCAAGGCCCCATGTTCATCTCTTCAGTTCCTATTACCACGTCGTCTCCATCCTAGCCAACATTATATGTAAAAAAAAAAATCCCTCACATCCATGTATTTCTCCAAAGAAGCGTCTCATCTCTCAAGCTCCAACAGGTTTTGCGCTAAGGCCGCCAGTGTCTGATGCTGTGACTCCTGTGTTCACAAGCTTACCAGGAACAGTCCTCACTCATCCTCTCCAGCCGGGCTGTCTGGCACGTGCTTGGGGGGGTAAACACCGAGGGGTCTTTGATACCCAGCTGTATGTCGAAAAACCGTGTGGACAATATCACACTGTAATTCTGGGTGAAGGTTTCCTGGACCGGGTAACAATCCTTGAGCGTATAAATGCCAATCCAAGTCTCATCTAGAAGAGAAAGGAAAGTTGACTTTTAATATAGGAAGCAGGCAAAGTGCTTGTATTTTTTTGTTGTGGTAAATTATACATAAAAATCTACCATTTCAACCATTTTTAAGTACAGTTCTGTGGCATTGAGCACATTCACATTGTTGTGTACCCTCCCCCCCCACCACCACCACTATCTCTGGTACTTGTTCATCTTCCCAATTGTAACTCTATGCCCACTAAATGCTAACTCCCCATTCCCCCTCCCCCTAGCCCATGGCAACTACCATTTTCTTTCTGTCTCCATGAACTTGATTACTTGGCACCTTATATCAAGGGAATTATACAGTATTTGTCCTTTAGTGACTGCTTATTTCACTTAGCATAATGTTCATCCATGTTGTAGTGTCAGAATTTCCTTCCTTTTTAGGCTGAGTGATATCCCATTATACAAATACACCACACTTTTTCTATCCATTCATCTTCTGATTGGCACTTGGGTCTGTTTCCACCTTCTGACAATTATGAATAATTCTGCTATAAGCATCAATGTTCAAATGTCTTAGTCATTTCTTTCAAGTCTTTGGGGTATATGATCAGAAGTAGAATTTTTGGGTCATATGGTAATTCTATGCTTATTGTTTTTGCAAACTGCCATATTGTATTCCATAGCATAAAGGCCCATATTTCTGACACAGTTTTGGGCTAAGCATGTTGACAGCAGAAGAGAGAAGTGCTTCATATATGTGTCTAACAGCCGACACTAAAAATACTGGCAGTAAATCTGATCACTGAAACTTTAGGAAGTGATATGGGGGAAGGAAAAGGAGGCATCCAGCTGTAATCTGTGCCATAGACAAACACCTTCCATGTTACTGGTCTGAGGAGGTTGGGTAGGGGGATCATCAAATGTCAGAGTCAAGGCTAAGTTCATGAGAAGTCATGTGGCAGGAAGGTACAAGTGGGGCTAGAAGGCTGAGGTGTTTCAAATATGATGTTTACATCCTGGTGCTACACAACTAGCAGAGTACATGTGGGCACTTCAGTGGGGGGTAATGGGGAGTGTAAACAATTTGATTACACTCTTAAATCTCCCTAACAACTGCCTTCCCTAGTGGACTTAAACATTTGCCCCAGGATCCTCTCTGAGATGCAGCCCGCCCGTGTTTTTCTGCACACTTACATGATCTGGCTGACTTTCTGTCAGACCACTCCTGAACGGTGATCTGCTCCTGGGGCCCCCCTATGGAGTACTGGTCCTCAAAAGTGGCATTCTGAGGAATGTCAAGAGGGTCCCAGGGGTCTGCCAGGGTCAACTTGGAACATTCCTTGGTGGCTTGTTCAATCTGAAACATCACTCCATCTTTATAGAGCAAAATATATTCAAATAATCTGGAAGACAGAGGAAAAGAGAAAGTCAAAACGTTAAGTGACAATTATCATGGTTTTTATCAGCACACGGGCCAAAAGATTTCTATATAAATTACTCTTAAAACAGAAAATAGTTTTGCTCTTAGGCAATCATTTACTTATTTCTAAACACTAGACATACAAACAATCTGAATATAAAATAAAGTTCCGAGCTCAAAACAATATTCACTGGATAATTACTTATCAAGCACCATATGCCTAACCCTGTGCTTAGGACACAAACATGAAAAAGACCTGAGTCTGATGAACAGATATTTGTGACCTATCTTTTAGACACAGGGTCACAGGAGGGTTTGACCGTTGACTTGGTTGAGCTCTCCTTACAGCACTAAGTCAAGGAATTACAGATACTGAATACAGAATGACAAGAACTTGCTGAGGATGGACCAGGCACTTCAGCCCCATTGTCTTGACTGTGAGTCACGAGTAAAAGGTTTTGATGAGAATGGATGCCCCTCAAATACTCGAAGGAAGTTGATATGAATAGGGACAAAAGCTGGGGAGACCCCAACGTGAATGGCTTCTCACACAGTTTGTCTCTCTGCCTCATCTCTCACACCCATGTGCACACCTATTCCCAGGCTAGGCCTGGAGTCAGCAGACCACCCCATGATCACTTTATACACTGTGTTGTCAACCATCCTGTGCCATTCCTTTCTTTTAAAAAATTCCTCACCAGAAGATATGTTTTATTAATTTTTAGTGCGAGAAGAAGGCACAGAGAAAGAAAGAGAGAAGCCTTGATGTGAGAAGCACCTATCAGCTGCCTCCCTTATGTGCCCCCACTGGGGAGCAAACCTACCACCTAGGCATGAGCCCTGAGAGGGAATCAAATGCCCCACCATCTGGTGAATGGGAAGATGTTCAGCCACCTGGCCAGGGCCCTGTTTCATGCTTAAAGCTGGCAATCTTAGGTGAAGCCCACTTTCTTTGATGTGTGTGTGTGTGTGTGCATGTGTGTGTGTGTTTTACTTTAAATAAATAAATGAATATATATATATATATTATTACAGTTGACATACAATATTCTGTTAGTTTTGGGTATACATCCTCATGATTATACATTATATGACTTACTAAGTAATCACCCTAGTAAACTCCATACCCATCTGACACCATACATAATTAGAATATTATTGACTATATTCCCTCTGCTGTACTTTACATCTCCATGACTATTCTGTAACCACCAATCTGTACTTCTAAATCCCTTCACCCATCCCCCAACCTCCTCCCATCTGGCAACCACCAAATTGTTCTCTGTATCTATGAGTCTGTTTCTGATCTGTTTATTTATTTTGCTTTTTAGATTCCACATATAAGTGAGAACATATGCCCATTGAGTTTTTGTGCGTTTGGCAATCCAAAATCCAGGCCATGCTGCGAGTTGATGCAAAGTGAGGTTGCAGCCGTGACCTCAAAAAGTGACACTTGTAGCCAAAACCGGTTTGGCTCAGTGGATAGAGCATCGGCCTGCGGACTCAAGGGTTCCAGGTTCGATTCAGGTCAAGGGCATGTACCTTGCTTGCGGGCACATCCCCAGTAGGGGATGTGCAAGAGGCAGCTGATCGATGTTTCTCTCTCATTGATATTTCTAACTCTCTATCCCTCTCTCTTGCTCTCTGTAAAAAATCAATAAAAATGTCTGTTTGCCATCTCTAGTCTGAGCTTACACAGTATTTTCTTCAGGGAGAGGTATTACAAATGATCACTGTCTATGTGGTTAAAACAGTATTATTGTGAGGATTATGCTTCTTTTTTCTATGAGCTGGTATAGAAATATATACATGACCTCGTTTGATATAGTTAGACATATCTATCCTGCTTATTACAGAAAACATTTGAAATGGCTTAAAAGGGTAAAACTCAACCACAGGCCTTTGGAAATGAGAGTGTACATAGACAGAAAAGGAGCTGTTCACTTTATGCCATATTGCTTAAAAAAAAAAATGGAGTCAGCCCCTAATATGCACACAGGATTCACACCAAACTATAAGCCCTTTGGAGAAGTTTGGGGTTAGATTGTCACTGTTTCCTTATGCCACCGTTTTCTCGTTAGGTCCCTGGTGCATGAAGGTCAAAACATTCATGGAAGGAATGCAAAAGCACCTCCATGTTAGAGCATAGTCCACTCATTAACGTGGTAGTGGGGCTTGCTGGACAAGAGGTGGGCATCTGACGTAGGTAGGACAGTTTGCTTTGCTCCCTCAGACATGTGGAATTGTAGCAGAAGTTCTGCCAGTCTTAGGATCTGTCATATGTAAACACAGAAGTCATAGGAGCCTGTTTTACAACATGTGGACTGAACAAGAGCAAAAAGTGAAGCAGAGAAATGCATGAGCAAGCTGGGATTCCAAGAGCTGATCAGTCCCTATATGTGTTTCTTTTCTGAGGCCCAGTGCCTGGAAAGTTATGATAAGTCTCCTTTGTTCTAGTAAACTTCCCTTTTTCTGTTCGGAACTCATTTCTAATATATTAGTTGAAGACTCCACTGTCCCAGATAACAGCTGCCAGCAGAGCTGTTGTGAGAGAGGCACAGGATGGGCGCTGTAGAACCAAGGGCACCAGTGGCTGGTCAGGCACCTGCCAGGGAAGGGAAGGAGACAGAAGGAGTAGAGCCAACTTCACTGTTTTCGGGCCAGCTCTGCCTATACCAAAAAGTACAATTTAATTTTAAATGAGAATTCTAGGCTTAAAAGAATCATTACAAAATGTTAACATTTATTAATTCTGGGTGGTCTGAATACAGGTGTTTGTTATGATATTCTCTTTTGTTTTTCAAAATAAATATATTTTTAAGTGAGTTCATAGTGTGATATTGAGTTATGTCAACAGTCCCTTAAGTAAAACAGAAAATAATCAAATGATGACAAAAAAAAAAAATAGAACTGTAACAATTTGCTTTGCAAAATACCATGTGCCTAGATAGGTGAGTACTGCTCTTCACGAAGTTTTGGACAAGACTTTCCTGATGCTCTAGTGGCTTATATGTTTCTGTGAATATATGCAGAGTTAAATTGTCAGATTCTCCATCGCAAATAGGATACAGAGCCTGGAATCTGACAGAGCCAGAAGGTCAAAACGCAGAGGTCAGCCAAGGTTGAAATGAGTCACCGGCCTGGGATGCTGTGCGGATAAGAACTGCAGACCCGAAGAACTGACCAACTTCAACAGAAACTAGATTCTGGGAGGTGAGAACAAAGCGAAGGAAGTTGTCAGGAACTGTACCCCTGGGGTGCAGTCAAGTAAGGTGAGGTGCTGGAATGGATTGGAGAATAAGGCAGGCGGACCAGCCCTGGGTCAACAACAGCATGTAAACTTCTCCTTGCTGGCCAGACATTAAGTCAATATGGTTCTGGGAGGCCCCACCACCGGGTGTCAGCTGTGAGCCAGGTCAGGCTGTCTGGGTCTGGCCCCCAGTCAGCAGGCCAAGCTCTCCACTGCAAACTCCACCAAGGGTGCCAGTGTCCCATTTTGCTTTTGATAAAATCCTCTGGCTAACACTGACAAGTTCTATTGTTTCCTGAAAATTTCTTTTCCTGAGAAAACATGCTCTACCATTCCCATGTTTTCTAAAATACTAATGATCTGCAGTTCTTCATATTTTGAAAATAGGTCTGTAGCTTTTGTAAAACTGATTCATGTTTTTTGTTTTGTTTTGTTTTTTTTAATATATTTTATTGATTTTTCACAGAGTGGAAGGAAGAGGGATAGAGAGCTAGAAAGGTCCATGAAAGAGAAACATTGACCAGCTGCCTCCTGCACACCCCCTACCGGGAATGTACTCTTGCCTGGAATCGAACCGGGGACCTTTCAGTCGGCAGACAGACGCTCTATTCACTGAGCCAAACTGGTTTCGACTGATTCATGTTTAATATAAAAATGTCAAACAATATAGACATGGAAAAGGAAATAAAAATTGTCCAAAAATGACTCTGGAAATATATGTTGAGTTTTTCATTTTAATTTTTAGTGTTAATTGTGGCAAAATACACATAAATTTATCACCATAACCATTTTTTTGTTGTTAATCCTCACCAGAGTATATTTTTTTCATTTATTTATTCTATTTATTTATTCTATTCATTTATTTATTTATTTATTTATTTATTTGAGAGGCTGTTTCCAAATCTTAGCTATTGTAAATTTTGCTGCTATGAGCATAGGGGTGCAGCTATCAGATTAGTGACTTTGAGCATGTTTTCTTATGTCTCTTGACCTTTTGTATGTTGTCTTCTGAAAAGTATCTATTTAGGTCATTGCCCATTTTTTTTTATTGGATTGTTTATTTTCCTTTTGTTAAGTTGTATGAATTCCCTGTAAATGTTGGAAATTAAACCCTTATTGGAGATAACAATGGCAAATATAATCTCCCATGCAGTGGGCTTTCTTGTTTTATTGATGGTTTCTTTTGCTATTTAGAAGCTTTTTATTTTGATGTAGTCCCATTTGTTTATTGTATCTGTCTAATTTTCCCTACACCATTTACTGGAGAGCCTGTCTTGACTCCATTGTATGCTCTTGCTTCCTTTGTCAAATATTAATTAAGCATAGTCTAACCTACATTTTAAATTTAACAATTTGTTCTTGATATACTTCCAAGTTAAATATAGCTCTAGGAAATTATTTTTCTCTAATTTATTATGAAATATTTTAAACATGCAGAAGAGTTGAGGGATTAATATAATAATTTCCTTAATATTTACCACCTAGATTCAACACAATTGTTACCTTTTGTCATATTTGTTAAATTTTTTTCTAAATATTTCTCAAGAACAAAAACTTTCTGCCTCTTGATCACTATACCATTGTCACACCTAAGAAATTAAAATTTATTCCCTAATACCAGCTAATATGTGCTTATATTCAATTGTCTCCCAAAATATATTTCAAAACTGTTTTGTTTTGTTTGTTTTTTTATCAGAATCCTATCATCATTCAAGCATTATATTTGGTTGTTA